GTAAGGTTTGCAAACATCTTCTCTTGGATTTTAGCTAACTGAGGTCTCAACCAGCAAGGCTTCTGTCCTTCTGCAGTATCAAGTTTCTAATCATTTGGGGTAGTCAAAGCAGGATGTTAAGCAAGTCTATTAAGGTGTTTGCCCATACTGCTTTGTTTGCACTAAATTGCTTCTTGGCTTGCATAAAAATCAGACCTACTTGGCCTCAACTAAACTGCAAATGCACTTGTATTAATGGATGGTCATCCATCTAGGGTGGTGGTCCTCAACCTCTTTGGACTCAACACCCCCTGGAAAATGCCAGCTTTTTAGTTCTCTCTTATTTTTGACTACAGAAATAGAGCAATTCTTGTGTTGCAAAAACCTCAGATCATACAATAGGCTAGAAAGAAATCTGTAGTGTCAACAAACAATTTGAAATCTCTGGGTTTATTATGTTTGCACACCTAACAGTGTTAACATTGCGCAGCACTCTTGAAAGCACCTCACATTGCTTTCAAAGCATCTCAAGACAGCCGCGGATGTCATGGTACCCTGGTTGATATCACTGATCTGGGGCCAACAAAAGTGACTGGTCCCCCATATTTCTTGGTGTAGGTACCTATGTGGCCTCACTGCTGGCAAATCATTGATGGATTCTACCTTAACAAACAGGGCTATTATGAAGCAATCAACACCCCTATTTTACAGGTGGAATTTAGGCACCAGAAAGATCCATTGCTCCAGGACAAAGGAATCCTGTGGCTGAGCCAGAAAATAAACCCAGGTCTTCCGAGTCTCAGAATCCAGTGGTCTTGTAGGTTGAACTTTGTACCTTGATTTGGGTTTCACCACAAATCCATGGTCTTCAGAGATCTACTGCTGAACTTCTCTGAGTCTGGGCTCAAAGCTATACAATCAGTGCAGGGTATCTATTTGTCAGCTCACCAACACAAGAGTGCTATAGATAGCTCATGTCCCTGCTCTGCATTCTGTACTGGGATACCTGAACAAATTCAAATTTAGTCCTCATATTTAAAATACTCCTTTGGATTATGTCTCATGGGACAGATTGAAGGAACCATCTCATTCTACATGATCAGAGCCTCTCTATTCCCTCAGACCCAGGGCATAGGTACTGTCAACAATGAAACTTTTGCACATGAGCAATGTGTTCCCTTGGTAAATGAGTGGAACTGAAATCTCCAAGTTGCTCCTGGAAAAGATCAGGATGCCCACTCACATCCAAACTTTCAGAGGAAAAGACAACTTCCCCTCCGCTGACTTGATGCTATTCCCATAGCAGAACCACATTTAAAAGCAAGTATTTGAAAACAAGCACAATATATACCAAGTAGAGCCCAATTCCTACCTCCTTACATGCATAACGTATAATATTGGAAGGTGACTAGCTAATAGCATTGGGAGCCATGGAAGACATATGTCTACAGTGAGATATCTGTCTTTGAGAACTGATAGGCTACTGCTATTAGTAACACAACCCAGGACTCTTGAAACCTCCTCTGATTTTTGTGACCAGCTCCAAACATAAACCATACTGGAACTGGGGAAGAAAAAGTAACAAAATTAGAAAAGAACAACCCACAGTCACTGGGAGAGATTGGGACTGCAGAGCCACAGAAGGGAACTCAACTTCTAAGAAAAGCAAAAGCTTCTTCCAGACGTGGATATAACACAAAAAATGGGCAATGAATGGGAACAACTTTCTAACTAGGCAAACTGCATTAAAGCAAGTTTCTTTCCACTGCCTCCTTAATCTCCTAACACAGGGACTATGAATCCCTTCTTCCTCACTTCCATTGCTAACTGCCAACCAGCATGAGACCAAGTCTACCCAGGGATATACATTTACACTGACTTGAACTAAATGTGTTATTTTGAAGCTAATTAGTTAAACATTCAGTTCCTGGAAGGATACTAATGCTACACAAGAAATCAAAACAAGGCCACTTGTATTGTTAATAGGAGCATCAGCATAGTAGTTTAATGCAATTTAAATTAATCCATGTTAATGGATTAACTTTCCTAAGAATGTGAGTGTATGAGTTCCAAACAAAGGGATCACAATATAGCCTGTTGTTTTCATACAACTAAATTGATGCATGGATAAAAGTAAAGGACAGTTTTGCCCACAAGATGGCCTTTTTAAGCGAAAATGACTTGAGACTGGAAAAGCATCAGTTATGACTTGTGCATTAACCAAATGCTCCTGTCATCACTACTAGCAGGCTACTTTCCATGTGGCAAAGCTGAATTTTTGACAGATTACAAAAAGTGGCAGCACAGAAAAACGTTAGTTTCCTTTGCAGCTCATGGTGTAGCTTTTGGCAGGGTATTCTAGTGAGAAAATAAAATTCCTTAACATGAATATGGTATAGTGACAGAACGAACACAAGTGCGTAAAAAATTCCCTTCATTCAAAGATACCCATGATTAACAATGAAGATAATTCAAGAAGGGAAATACTCTCTCTCATCACACTCCCTCCCATCCTGCCCCCAACAGAACACTGTAGAAATGCTTCCTAGACCTGGACCACGGCTTACAATGTGATAAAAGTATCAAGACAGATTCTAGACCATAAGGACAACTCAAAGCCAGAGGAAGGTTGAAATAAAAGTGAAACACTCATGCTAGAGTGTACGAAGAATAACCTGCCTTGTGCCAAGTACTCCACAATAAGAGTTTTGAAAGTCCTTGTTTATCAGGATGTTTCCCACTTTTTTATGCTACTTTATAGCAAAGGGGCATACCTGAGCCTACACTAAGAGTGAATGCCATTCATCTTCTGTATTTAGAAACACTGAAACATTCTCTAAGGACAAAATGTTTGAAATACAGAGATTTTGTTACTCTTCCCCCTAACGGAAAGGACAATGAGAGTTTTGTATTATTCCCCACCCTCCACCACCACCCCCCCCACACACTTTAAATACTACTACAGAACATGATGGTGATGATGATTTATGTCTTTCTAAAGTCTTATTTTGGGGGAGAGTTGAATTTCCAAAACAGTCAGATTAGACATCAGAAACTAATATGGAAATTAAACCAGTTCCAGATGATACTGAACAATAGGAGGCAGAAGAGAAGATTGGCTTTTTTTCCAACCTCAAAAGGTTCTCCAAAGATTAAAAATAGATTTTTTGCTGAACTGGACTAAAAATCACCCCCCATAAGAATGAGAGTCTATTTCAGAAGAAGTTAGCTGGAGAAGTACAGTTAGGGGTAATTCTTTCTTTCACCTAAGTCAAAGCAGTGGTCATTTTCAAGCTGCAGTAGTGAAAAGACTGGAGGTAACTAAACAGCTGTTTGACGAGGGATCTATGCATTTGTATGCTTCAGCCAGTATAAGCAACTGAATATTAAAAAAACTTCTTATATTCTAAACATTTCTATTGATTTCACCCACCACTAACATTTCATAGCAGCTGAAATGGGTCACTGGCAAATGCAGAACATATTCATTCCAATAATACATTGTTTGATTTTTGCTAAGGTTCATGGCACAGTAATTTTAAGCGATACAAATGCAAACATTTGAAATAAAGAGAAGAATTTATTGACAAATATTCACTACAAGTATAAAAGTCTTAACACTTTTCCTTTACTGACTGTAAAAGTGAACACTAAGTTTAAGAGTACAGGCAAGTTAAGAACTCAAAACTGTTCTGCCAAAAGTGCAATTTGGTATTCTGGGAACTGGAATTCTCTGGGCTTATTACATTATAAATGGTACGTGAAAGAAGCTTAATGATATTGCTTTTAATCTCCCATGCACATGGGAAATCATTACTTAAGCTGGTTTCTTGGTTTATGGAAACATATACTGCAAGCGTACACTGCCACAGATAAGCCACGGAGACCCAAGTTACAATACGGTACTTCCTGCAGTCTTGCAATGTGCAATAGACCAGTGTTCTCATTGTTCAGAGCTGCACTACTGCCACGATTTTCCTCTTTTTTACGCTGGAAAATCAACAATAGTTCCACTGAAGTCACAGCAGTTACACAGCTGTAAGACTACTGTGCAAAAAAAACAAAAAAAACCCACAGGTCCTTGAAAATTAGTGGGTCTGTCATCTTTTTCAGTACTAACCACACTACAATAGAGGGCTGTGTTTTAACCAGGACAGGAGTCTAACATGTAATCAGATCTCCCAGCACAGCAATTATTTTGTGGGGAGGTAGAACCAAAATGACCAGGCTTTACAACCCGTGATTTTGTAATTTAATATATTAAACTTCTGTAGTGATTCTGGCAATGCAACTTCAGTAGAAAAATAATACATTCTGCTGCCTGCTTTTTTCATGCCCCATTTGGCAAACATTTATAGGTCCCTGTGCTAATCTCTTCAATACTCAAACGACACTAAAAACCTCAGGTTAGGGGGGAGCAGCAGGATCCCATGAGTTAAGGCACATGCCTGGGAGTAGAGTCAGTTTTGTCTCTCAACTGCTAGTTGGCCTCAGAGTCTGAGCAAGTTGCAACATCTTCGTGCCTCATCCCTCATCTCGAAAACAAGCTAAGACCCATTCAGACATGGTAAGACACAACACTCACTGATGCTTACACATGGTATGGATATCCATGGATGGAAGGCCCTGGAAAGAAGATCAGGAGCAGTAAAAAGCACTTCATCTTTAACATTGACAGAAACATAAAAGAATTGTCAGAGACTGACAGGAAGAGAGAAAAAGAATACAAGGTTTCTGTGAACATTAATTTGGTTTATGCTAGCACTGTTAATAGAAAATAAATATTTGTCTTTATAATTTTAGGGGATTAAATATACCTTTAAATATTGAAGCTGTTACTTAATAAATTAGAGTCATTAATAAAGTTTTTAAAAATAATTTCTTTACATAAAAACCTTTACACTATCCAAAAACAACTCGATGTTATTCCTATTACCTGTCTTATAGCCAGTGCTACACAGCCAAGTTTCACCATCTCCGAGTGTAGATACACAACACAGTTATGAAGTAATTGATTCCTTCTGCCTGACTCCACAGAAGTGGTAAGGAGTGGATAAGGTGGCAAGAAAGCCAGTTTCCATTGAGCAAGTGGTTTCTCAGGACAGAACTGATTATGAGAGTGAACATGCAACACAGTCCATACAGCAAAATGATTACACATTTCTCAAGGAGTAACTTCACCCTTGATTTGAATGATATACTGTGCAGGAGGACTGTGTTTTGGGTGCCTGCTTTGTTTTTCTATGTAGTAATGTCAATCTGCAATATATTAATGTGTCACATGTCCATACCCTATTGCATCCCCAAATCAGCTGACTGGTCTAGGAGGATAGCAGAGAACACCAATTAGCTCTGGAATGGGAGAGGCATTCACCATTTAACAGCAACTGAACTGTAAGCAGAGGAACAGCGTTGCTGCATTTTATAATGAGAAAGATTTTATAAAGATGGTCACCCTTCCCTCAAACAAGTCATGAACCCTTCCGTAAAACAAATGGAAGTTTTGAAGCAGCAGTCCCCCATGTCAAGGTGCAGATGTACTGCTGTTTGCTTAGCAACAAATCTAATTTTTTTTTCTTAAAAATTGAACAATCACACTAAATTGCACACAAGCATGCACTCCAAGCACTTCTAGAATCTTGTTATAAGAAAAATACTTGTCCTTGTTTTTCCCCAGTAATGCACTAAAATAAATTCAGGCATTAACGAGTAACTTGTATAGTAAGAAAAAGTCACCAATTTAATCATTTACTTTAAGCAAGCAAGCAATCCGTAAACATTCAAAAGCGGCAGCATCCAAGTTACAAACAATTCAAAAGAAAAGAATTGAGATTATTAAGGTTCTCCCGCCCTTCAAAAATTTTGAAATGATCTTTTAAAACACTACAAAACACGGAATACTTAGTTACATCTCTTATCCTGCTAGTAGTTCTTCCTCACAAAGAACTCCTGTATTTCTAAGATGCACAATCATTGCAATAACTCATACTGTAGAATCTGCTGCTTAGAAGTCAGTCAGTGCACGTCGATCTAAATCCCATTAGCAAAAGTAATGCTCGTGTCTTGATTCAACAGTTCTTTGACTTCCGAAGGCAAAATATCAAAGAGGTGATCTTCCACCACGAGCCCGCTTTTCCTGAGAAGCCGACACTGCCCCAGTGTAACTGGTAGACGATCTAAGCAGTTTCCCTTCAGTTCCAGATGAGTTAGCTGCAACAGCTGGCCAATTTTATCTGGGATTGAGGTAATACAGTTTTGCCCCAGACTCAAAGTCCTCAATTTTACACATTTAAACAATGACTTTGGCAAACTCTCCACTTTGTTTCCTGTTATATGAAAATGTTGCAAATTTTGAAGTGACCAAATTTCCACTGGAATCACTGTAATTGAGTTGTAGCTTACATCTAAGCATCTGAGTTTCTGTAAATTGAACACCGCAGCTGGTAAAGATTCGAGTTTGTTATTGGAGAAATAAAGTGACTCCAAGTTCTTTACACAGGAAATGGAGGGAGGAATGTTGACTATTTTATTGTGCCACAACTTTAAACAGGTCAGTCTTTTCAAGTGCTGGAAGCTGATGATCTCCTCAATTGTGCGTATACTATTTGATTTTAAATCCAGTTCCTGTAAGTTAGTTAAACTAAAAATGGCATGTGGAATTCTCTCCAGTTCACAGTTCTGTAGTTCCAATTCAGCTACATTCATCATTTTCTTAAGGCTATTCAGTACCACAAGCTTGGTGCCATCATTATGAATTACAAGCTTTGTTAGATGAGGTGCCACATCTGTGATATTAGAAGGGATTTTGGTCAAATTACTCTTCACATGGAGAATTTTAAGGTGTCTTAACTCTCTGAGAGATTCAAGTCCTATCATTTTATTGTTTTCAGAGTTCAAGTTGCCTATCAAGTACAATTCACGGAGATTTTTAAGCAAATACACCCACGCAGGAATTTCTGCAACGTCTGTGAATTTCACATGAAGGCATCTCAAGTGGTCACGGAGGAAGCTGAAAGCAGTCTGCTCAACCTTTGCAGGACAGTGGCAGAGATGGAGCTCCTGAAGATTTGTCATTTGTGAAATTTTAGCTGGAATTTTTGCTTCAGGAATCAGCTCCAGTTTCAGCACATCCAGATCTGTCAGATCAAACACTGCATCAGGGACCCCTGACAACATGAAGAGATGCAGCTCTTGCTTATCTTGTGCATTGCGAGAAACATGCTGTCTAAGTTTTTCAAATGTCCATTCATGATTTAAACTAATTTCTCGCAGCTTGTTTTCACTTACCTCTGATAAAAAGACACCAAATCGCTTAGAATATAACTGGTCGTACTGATCTACCATATGCAAAAGAAATGCAAAATCATTTTTCACATCAGGAATATCACTGAAGCTGCTCTCTTCTCTGACCTTCTCAAAGGAATACTCTTTTAAGGGTATTCTAAACAGCCAGAAGAGTGTATACAAACAGATAAAACCGTACACACAAATAAGAGAAATATAGCTGATAAGGAGCTTCTTCAACATGTAAGCCATATTGTGTGTACACTCAAACTCCTTATACCCAATCAGATGCTCTACTTTTGGCTTGCATCTGTGCTCAAAACTAATTGCATTTACAAAGTTAGCAGTGTAGCAAAGAATAAATATAAACTTGACTGTCTTGATGACTGTCTGGACAACATACAGTTTATAAATCAAGTCACTGTCCTCCACATGAGCCCGAAATTTTCTAACTTTCTCAAACAGGGCTTTGGCTTGCTCTCCATCTTTTTTATCTAAAATAGTCATGCTGGGGACCTCAATGACTGGCTTTTCAGCTGAAAACTTGAAGCCAGACTTGGTTATCATGGGAGTACTGGCACTGGGACTTCCTTCATCACTGCTAGTGGAAACGTGCTTTGGCAGGGACTGGGCACCTGTGAGTCTCTGTTTGTTCTCCTCAGAGTCCTCACACGCTGTTTCAGATAATGCTTTTGTAGTCCAAGGGGACTCAAAGCACTTTCCCAATATGGACACAAAATGTTCAATTTTTGAGCATGTCTTCGGATATTTAAACCAGAAGTTGCTACTGACTATTAAAATAATAGTATGTATGAGCGCAAGATAGGGAAAGTACTTTGAATACCAAGGAAGGGCCAAATGATAACACATCTGATTAATAAATACATATTGCTGAAAATCCAAATTGGTTTTTCGCCCTAATGAATCTTTTTGCTCTTTCTTCAGCTCCTGATTTGATACAGTAGGTCGCAACTGAGAAGACGTGACTCTGCTCAGAGGTATGTGTGGTGTTATGGTAGGTGCACCTTCAGAGGAATCTGTTCCCATTGACATTTCTTCAGCTTCAGTGGTTGCTGGTATAAAGTCAGCATTCCCTGATGTGCCGGGTTGTGCTTTTGAACTTACAACAGACTGCAATACTGGCAAGCAGACCACCTGGTCTTTGGTCAGCTGCATCGTTCCAGCAAAGATGGCAACCATTAGCATAACGACAGCTAGATAATCCATAAATACATCCCACCATGGTTTCAGGATACGATAAGTTGGCTGTATGTCATTAAGCGATGCAACTTCCGTAAGGGTAAACATTCCTGTGACAGAAAAAATTAAAGATACATAAATCATTTGCTGCTAAATCAATTGGATACATATTATTTTACTGATGAATAACCAACACGACCCCATGATATAAGGAACTTCAAAAGTTTTCTATTGCTTTGTGCATTATGTTAATGTGTGTGCTACTGTCCACCAATCCATTCTGTGGTACTTACCCAAACAAGATCCTTGCAAGGATGTCTGTGGTAAGGCATCCCTTAGCACTGTAATAACAGTTTCTTGCTTGCTGTCTGTCAACTGATATTTATAGTGGTTTGTCACATTTAGCAGCACCTGAGATCTACACTGTATGATCCTTGGCGGTTTTTAAGACCCAGCTAGACAAAGCCTTAGGTGGGATGATATAGTCGGGGATGGTCCTGCTTTCAGCAGGGGGTTGGGACCACTTGACCTCCTGAGACCCCTTCCAACCCTAATTTTCTATGATTCCATGATGTAAATATCTGAATTGTGAAGTGCTATTGTTAATATAATTCAATAGCAAATTATTATACCCTCTATCAGATTCTATAGACTGTACACTGCTTTGAAAATGTGACATGCTGTGTCAGTGTCAACTACTTAAAAATATTTTAATTTAAAGCAAGATAAGCAGGAAAAAAATTGCGAAAAGCTTTGCACAATGCAGCATGGACCACATTTTAGGGCCTCTTGAAACAATAGCAGAATCTCTTATTTCTACTGTTTCAAATAGGCTAGAATGTCAATAAATCTCATTCCTTGCAATTCAATATCCACATTGGTTGCCAAATTTATCAGTCTTTTCCTTAAGTACCATCAAGTACTATATATGAGCAGTGTTAATGCTGCAGCTCTTGTACAAGGCATCCATGCCAAAAAAAAAAAAAAAAAAAAAAAAAAAAAATCAATTTTCCCTTATTTTATTTAGTCATTTTCTAGTGAAGTACTTACAAACTCCATTTTCCAGAGAAAGTATTTTAAATAAAATCTCTCTTCTCTCAGATAATGAACATTTTAAAATAAGCAAGAAATCATTGCATAATAGACTTTTACCCCAAGCTTGTCATAGAAATCTGGCAACTACAGGACATGAAAACTAGTTCTATATAGCAAGCTGTTTTCAAGGGCTTTTTTTTAAACTGAAATTTTATCCATCTTGAATCAGAATTGACAAAATGAATGGTAATCAAAACTTACTTCTTTCACAGTTTACAGTGCATCAAATAGCTCTGCTTTCTTTTTATTATGAAATGTGGAAGGTTGAATACAATTCTGTTTCTTAAAAGAATAAGCTGCTGCAAGCAGGATATGGTACAGTATCAGGTAGCTACTCTATCCATGACTGAAGTTTGTCATTGTTAACATAAAATATGTAATGACACATGAAGTATGCATCATGTAATATGTTCAGCTACAAAGAAGACTACCAGCCAGAATATTAAGAGGCTCCAAAGCAACCAATGTTATGATGGACCACTTGGGTTTATTATTTTTATCTTGAAATACACTTTATTTGTACAGCTTTTCTCCACAGAGAGACTTAGCGCTCCTATACATGTGCAAGGAAGCTGCTCCAACATGCTGTAATTACACTGCATCAGAGCAGACTCAATTAATCAAGTGTACTGGAGTGTGGTAATTACCGTGCTTCAGCAGACTCCAGTGCCACGTGCATCAGCGTCCCTGCACTGAAAAATGGCGGTGCAGTGCTTTAAACTAAAGCTCATTCAACAAGCTTTAGTTCAAAGTGCCCAGCCGCCATTTTTCAGCACAGGGTTGCTGATACACATGATGCTCTAGGTGCTTTTAATTAGCACGGCTCTCAGAACTGCACTAAATAAAGGATGCCTCCACCCACCCCTCTGCCTCCCAAAGCATGTCTATAAACTCCCTTAGAGGGCTAAAAATCACAAAATGCACACGTACAGTACATGACCATTTGCTTAGATCCCAATCCATATTTCTTTGTACATCCAATAAACTCATTTTCAATTGACAGAATCTGTGACAGCACTGTATTAAAAACATATCCTGCTTGATTTGTCACAGGTCAAATAAGGCAATTAAACAGATGCCTCTTGTACAAGTCTGTGCACAGATCTCGAACTGGCTATGTTCCATTTGACCAACTGCTTGCACTAAAAAAATTTTTTTTAAAAATCCACCTTTTCACCCAAAATGAGCAGAAAATCTTTCAAGAAAAACCTAAATTTAGTCAGAGGGTTATTAAAATACAGTGGATCACAGCAAAATGGCTCTTTTGCTAGATGTGTGCCAATATATTGCTGACATATTGTATTGGCACCAATAAAAAGAAAGTTAACGTTATCGCAATCGACTTTTTTTATCTGGTGTAGCCAATAACATCACCGATAAGTGCCATGTGCATCTGCACAGCTGCAGCATGCACACGGCCAGGAATGCAGCTGGGCAGCTTAGATTTACCAGCTGGATGCTGCTTTCTGTGGTGGGGAGGAGCATGGGAAAGGCAGATCAAGACCCCAGCAGTGAGACAGGGAGTGGGGCTGGGGCACGCGCTGCCCAGCCAGGGCAGTGAATGCAACTCCACCAAAAGTGGGGTAGAGCCATAGCTGGGTCATCCAACGGGCATAGGGGGGCAGCTCCCTGATGCTGCATACACCCCTGGGGAGGCATGGGGGGCATGTGCCCCTGAGATTTGTGCACAGAGCAAGGGAGAGCTGCCTGCTGTGGGCTTGGGACCAGGGGCTGCACCAGCCTCTTCCCGGTGGGGGGCCTGGGCTGGGAAGGGTGGCTACAGGGTGGCTAGTGAATTCTGAGGTGGCTGTAGCCCACCCACAGCCACCCCTCAGAGTACCACCGTCCACACCACCCTGCCCCAAGCACAGACCTGACCCCGCCCCCGCCGCCAGGAAGAGGCCAGTGCAGCCCCTGCCCCTGAGCCCACAGCAGTCAGCTCACCCTGACCCTGTACACAAATCCAAGGGGGCACATACTCCCCATGCCTCCCACGGCAGTGTGCACAGCAGTGGGGAGCCACCCCCGGCAGCTCTGCCCTGCTCCTGGGGCTGCATTCTTACCCAAGCTGGGCAGAGCCTGCCGCTGCCCCAGCCCCAGCCCCGCTCCCTCCCTCATCGTGGGGGCCGCAATCTGCCCCCCCCCACCC